GCTAAGTATGGAGTCACTGGAAATCAGGAAAACCAAGATATTTGAAATGCAAAAAGCAGTGATACTCCAGAGTTGCAGAACAGTCAGAAAAGTACTAGACTTGAGTTGAGTCTAACCAGACGTGTCTGCCACCAAAAGTGGCCGACATATCTGAGATCACACCGGACTAACCGTGATATATTAGGTATCGCACAAAGTTTTGCGAGGTAAGATTTATTCAGCTATTGATAGAGATATTGAATATATTTTTGAGCCTCAACTATGGTTTTTACTCATATGTATTCTCCCGAAGAGACTACTGTATTGGAGCACCGGTAGCTTTGCACAGGTATCTATAATGTACAGCAAAAACTATAAGTCCTAGAAAGACAAGCGACAAAGTCAGAAAAGTACTAGACTTGAGTTGAGTCTAACCAGAAGTGTCTGCCACCAAAAGTGGCCGACATATCTGAGATCACACCGGACTAACCGTGATATACAAAGATAATAATAATAATTATATAAAACAATAGACACGTACTGTTTGTCGAGAATATAGATTGTCAATATTATTAATATAAGATATATTATGCTATTGGTAAGACTTTTTAATAATCTCAACAACCTGACTGATTACTTGCTTAGCAATAATCATGTTATCCATATTTGTTTTTCATAATAAAGTTAGGATACGTGTTAAGATAGGTATATACACTATAGTCGAGTAAATTGTATGAAAATTCATAACTATTGTCACCATTTTGTATAATTATGATACAAATAAATTTTTATCGTTTATTGAATTAATATAATTAATATTCATGATTATTATTATTTGTGAAAAATATTTTATTAATATAAGAGACACTACGCTATTGTACGGAATACTTAAAAATCTCAACAACCTGGCTAATTACTTGCTTAGCAATAATCATGTTATCGATATTTGTTTTTCGTAATAAAGTTATGATATGTTTTATTATGATATAGTTATACAGTGCCATGCAGTAGAGAGTGGATGCCTTTAACAATATATTTCATAGATTTCAGTATATTTCAGTCCTTCGTTATCGCATAAAAATTAGTAAAATAAATGTTTAAAATGTTTATTTTAATATTTTTGTCAAAAAGTTAAAGTTTTATCTGTTAGGGTCAGTTATCTATAATTAATACTTTCCTATTGATAAAGGTACGAAAAGATTACCAAGGATTATGGCTTAAGTTCATATCAATTGAAAATCAAAAATTTTGGTCAAATTAATATCAGATTAAGTTTCTAATATTTGTTTAAATTATTAAACACACATTTATTTTACTAATTTTTTATAAGATAACGAAAGACTGAAATATACTGAAATCTATGAAATATATTGTTAAAGGCATCCACTCTCTACTGCATGGCACTGTATACACTATAGTGGAGTAAATTGTATGAAAATTAATAACTATTGCCACCATTTTGTATAATTATTATACATAAAAATGTTTGTTGATTATTAAATTAATATAATTTATATTCATTATTATTATTTGTAATAAATATTTTATTTACTAAAATGTCAACTGAAATAAATAATTATAAAATTTGTGATCAAATACCACAACATTTAAAACAAGAAATGAAGTATTTTTACGTTTTTTCTGACGATTTCTGGAGGGACCATAACATACTGTTTGTGACATTTGATGATATGGTGTATGGCTTGGGACCTAATAGTAGTGGTCAGCTCGGGTTAGGACACAAAAGACCCATTAACACACCACAACGAGTGCCAGAATTAAGCCATAAAAATATCCATCAGTTTTTCAATGGATTTGACTTTGTATTGGCTGTCAATACGGATAATAATGTGATATTCAGTTTTGGTGGCAATAATGATGGACAATTAGGGTGGCATGTGGATAAGGGTTTGAATGTAAGCCATAAACCGGATACTACATTATATTTCCAAACAAACAATTTAATTATTTCACAAATAAGTTGTGGTTTTATTCACACAATTGTGTTGACATCAAATGGACAGGTATTCGGGTGGGGGTGTAATGACAGGGGACAGGTTGGTTGTGGAGATAAATATATTCAATTAAATCCAACCCCTATTGAATTTTCCATTGAATATCTAATTAGTAAAATAGAGTGCAATTGGTGTACATCACTTGCTATTACTTATGAGGGACAGGTGCTTATATGGGGAGAGGTAGGTGATAATAGAATAAAAACACCACGTCTATTAGAAATTGAAATTAACATACAAAATGCACTTCCACAAAGATCATTATGTGCATATTTTTTATCCAGCCATGGTCAATTATATCGATATGACTTTCGTGATAAATGTTTAGAAATTTTATCATATTTTGTGTTCAATGAAATCAAAACAATACATGACTCAGAAATTGTGTGCAAATCTGGTGATAAAATATATGAAATGGTTGACCGAAGTCTGTATGAAACCAATTATACATCATTTGATGATTACTTTTCACATGAATTGCAAATCACTTTAAATACCATTTCAGTACATATTCAACAAAATACACAAATTTGTGGTAAATATTACAATAATGCCATAATTGTTGCTTCAATGTTGTAATTGAATTGATGATTATTATTATTATATTTTATTATAGAAACTGACGATAAGTTGAATAATTCAATATCATATAAAAAGTCATTTGATGAAATTGATAAGCTTGGTGAGGGTGGCTTTGGACTGGTATATAAAGTTCAAAATAAATGTGACAATAAATTCTATGCAATAAAGATATGCCAATTAAATGGTAAATATTTTTATATAATTTTAATATATATTGTTTAATGTAAGTCTATTGTTAATAGTTAGGTTTTCCTAATATTAATGCTACTCATATAAAATGTTATAAAGTTTAGCGGTCACTACAATTTCGACTAATCATATAATATTCTATATTTAAAATATTTATTATCATTTGTATTATAATTGGATTTTTCTAAAGGATTGACAGAAAAAGAGAAACAAAATGTTTTCAATGAAACGCAAAGTCTTGTGAAACTTAGGTCACACTTTGGTGAAACGGAGTTTGTGATTGAATACTACTATTCATGGATTGAATGCAATTGTCTTTACTTTCAAATGGAGTTATGTATCGATAATCTCAACAATATTTTGAAAATTAAGAAATTGTTTAATGAATTGATGACTAGTTTTGAATTTTATATACCGTGTCATATTTTTCATAGACTCACAGAATGTGTGCAATATTTGCACTACAATCATATCATTCATAGAGACCTCAAACCGGATAATGTGTTGATTTCATGGAAAGGGAGGATAAAGTTATGTGACTTTGGTTTGGCTAAAGAGGTCCAAAATTGTGATTCGTTTTTTATGTCTAAAGCCAAACATACGGCAGATGTGGGAACTGTTGACTATATGTCACCGGAAGCACAGACTAATGAATACAATCATTTAATAGATATTTACAGTCTATCCCTAATTGGGGCTCAGATTTTTGGTTTCGATACAAACGATATAATCGATGGAAAGTATGGTTTCATTTTAAAATAATTTTTTTAAATAATTAATCACTAGTATTATTATGTATTATATTGGTGCAAAAGTACGTTCGTCGACCTTTATTAGAAAACTGTGCTAGCTAAAACAAAACAAAAAATATAACTTTACAATTCTCATTGACTTCAAGGCACAGAAGTTATATGTTTGTACCAGCACCGGTATGTTACTAGCACCGGCTGATGCTCTGGAGCTAAAACTATAGGAGATACAGAGATGATCAGGGTACAATTCGAAAGAGCATCAAAATCAAAGGATACATGCCCTTGATAGATTTTCCCTAANATTTTCCCTAAAATGTTGCATTTTACCATTGATTACTGCCATAGACAATTACTGCAACAAATAATAAATTCAAAATCCTTTTCAATGGCAGTAATCAATGGTAAAATGCAATCTTTGAGATGCCCCAGAACAGTCATTTGATGAGGTATTTGAAAAATTTAAAAGCAGGTGTATTTCATCCTTCGAGATCTATCCAATGTGCTAATTAAATTTACCCTGAACCTTGTAGTAATGTTTGAATAAAATCGCCATTTCCTCCCGGTGCTGCAAGTTAACAAAAATTTGTAAAATTTTATATTAATAGAGATTTGAATTATCTACATTTTGTATATCATAACATTATTCTAGCTCATTTGGTTTAATTTTAAAAATTAATGGAAATTTGGTTTTACTGAGGTATCGGGCCTCCCAGTGCTAAAACTAAACATTTTAGGGAAAATCTATCAAGGGCTTGTATCCTTTGATTTTAATTCTCTTTCGAATGGTACCCTGATCATCTCTGTATCTCTTATAGTTTTAGCTCCAGAGCATCAGCCGGTGGTAGAAACATACCAGTGCTGGTACAAACATATAACTTCTGTGCCTTGAAGTCAATGAGAATTGTAAAAAATTATATTTTTTGTTTTGTTTTAGCTAGCACAGTTTTCTAATAAAGGTCGACGAACGAACTTTTGCACCAATATAATATAATATAACTCATAATAATATTTCAAATTTAGGATTAAAACAAACACAAAATATAACAAAGATATCAATGAATCGATGAATAAAATGAATGCATTATTGGTGTCAATGGCTGTCAATAAGTATCGCAGAAGTGGTTCAACAGATTGGAGGCAAAGACCCAAATGTTCGCACATTTTATCACAATTGCAGACATTTATGACAAATACACCCATTATTGGAGTTAAAAAATTAAATTCATTATTGGATGCTATGAGTGATGGAAAATGTGATTCTTTTTTCAAACTATTTATGAATTGCGAACCGTTTTGTATAATCCATATGACTGATGGAAATATAACTAATGGTTAGATATTTGTAGTTTAATATTATTTAAAAGTGCAAACTTTAACATTTACAGTATGTGTCTAGATTTAACTGAAATTAACGCAATTAATGGATTTATGTTTGAACAAATCGGGGAACCAATTTTTGCGAATACATGGGAAATATATGAAGCTAAACATATAATTTCTCAACAAACGTATTCGTTATGCATAATGAATCTGAGAAATTTCGGTAAGACTTATTGTATTATACTTTGTATGTGGTGGATATCAACGTATAGTACTTTTCAACTCTGCTTTAATACTATTTAGCATAATATGAAAATATACAGCTACGAGCAATCAAAACTGGTGTCGGTTTTTCCTTGATAATTCTTAAACGGATAATCCTATGTTAGATCTGACTTCAGAATCTTAATCCTGAATGAATGACAGATCACTGGGTATAAAAGATCATTATTTTATCATATGGGGTTACGAAGATATTCACGTTTGAATATTGACAAGAAAATTCGTGAAACTCCCATTGAAAATACATTAGGTTTTGGAGTACTTTTATGTATTTTGGTTTAATTTTGAAAATATGAAAAACAGCTGTACCTTGGCCATTTCACATGCGAATTTAAAACTTCAAAAATCATTTTGCATAAAATTAAAATGCGTTTGATACATGCATATTAGTTTTTAAATTTTCTCAAAATAATAATTCTAACTTTTTAACCATAGGTACTAGAACAAATCTGTTAAGTCTATTGAGAAGAGCTCAAAAATCTATACTAATCTGCTTTGTAACAGAATTTTTAAATATTTAGCTTCAAACTTCACATGTCTATAAAACACATTTTTCGAAACAAATAATAAGAAATGTTATTTGATCAATAAATTATACCAGATATCAAATTATGTAAATATTTTATTAATTACTCTAGACTAGATTTTTGAGCTCTTCTCAATAGACTTAACAGATTTGTTCTAGGACCTATGGTTAAAAAGTTAGAATTATTATTTTGAGAAAATTTAAAAACTAATATGCATGTATCAAAAGCATTTTAATTTTATGCAAAATGATTTTTGAAGTTTTAAATTCGCATGTGAAATGGCCAAGGTACAGCTGTTTTTCATATTT